GCACTTTCACATGAACAATGTCCAGGTCAACTCCCACCCCAGACAACACCTTCATTAGCAACCACTTCCAATCATTCTGTGGATGTAAGGCACTTTCACGTGAACAGGCTGCAGCTCTCGGAGAGCAGCAGGCAGGTATTAGGTGCCCAGGGCAAGGAGCATAACCTGCAGGGCACTAATGACAACAGATAAACACAGGCAGGTCGGTTCCCGGCACACTGCAACAGGCACCCGGTAAGACAACACGAGCTCGAGTCCCTTGGGCTGCCTTACTTTTCCTCCTCTGCGAGCCAGGTGACCGCAGGGGAAGAAAGCTGAGAGCCCGGAGTCCCTCTGTGGCTCTGCCACCAAGCGCAGGGCTCTTCTGCAAGAGGACTTAGCCAGCATTCTGGCTGATCTGAGAAGAGCAGGGAAGAGGGGCAGAGGGGCCGCTTCCCATGTGCAAAGTCACACTCTCTCCTCCTGGCCTCCTCTCCTGGCCTGCCCATCTGTTCTCACAGCATCCTGGGAAATGGGAACACAGACAGCAGGAAACCTAGCCGTAAGGAGCCACAAGTCCCCAGGATGAAAAATCCAAGGTGGGGAATAAAGGGCTCAGAGGAGGGAGGACCCAAGGGAGGAGGAAGAAGCGACCAGGCCAGGCTTCTCACCAAGGAACCTCTCTGCCCGCTGACAATCCTGGAAGCTTGTCTCAGGCAGCTGACTGCTGACTCAGATGCTCCACATTCCTCAGCTGTGGAGGATAGCGCTGAGACAGATGCACAGCACGCGGAAGCAGGGCCCATGCTTCTATTTACAGCAAGAGTAAAGGTTGTCCCTGACTCACGGCTGCTATGTGAACACTCAAGCTCCAGCTGTTAGAACGAGCAAGGGGCTGTTTGGAGGGTTGGGAAGGCAAATTCAGGCCGGGGAGATGGCTCAGTGGAATAAGTGCTTCCCTGGCAAGTGCAAGGGTCTGAGTTCAATCCTCGGTTCCGAAAAAAAAAAAAAGGAAGGAGAATTCTCCTTAAAATAGAAAGAGAAACAAAAGCAACGTGGTGAGAATCATACTTCGAGAGTACAGGACTGGGAGGTGGGGATTTAGCTGATTTTTCTCCCCTGTCCTTGCACTATCAGCAAAACAGCAGGTATGAAACCCCTAGATCTTAAAAAGGAACCTATGAAATGTCCTGTCCTAGCCCACGCCATTAGAGATGCTCTGCGTGGAGGTAGACCTTGGAAGCAGGGGTATAGGAATGCTTGTTATGGAATGCTGTTAGGAGAAAACTTAGAAGAAAAACATGTCTCCAATTATTCAGCTTCCCT